TGCGATCAACCTGGTAGACTCAGTCCAGGCAGGTCCAGTCCCTTCCTCCCAGACTGAGCCAAGTGTCCCTGCATAAGCTCCAGGTTTCAAACAGCCAACTCATGCACCCTCATTACTTTTAAATTGGAGGTAGAACCTTAATAAGTTGTCAAGTCTAGCCTTGAACTTACTTGCGCCAAGGCTACTCTACAGCCTGGGCTCAAGATCTTGAACCTGTGATCCTTTTTGCCTTAGCTTCTAGAGCAGTGGTTCTCAACCTGTGGGTGGATCATGACCCCTTTGAGGGTCGAATGACCGTTTCGCAGGGGTCACCTAAGACCATCAGAAACACAGATATTTACATTACGATTTATCACAGTAGCAAAATTACAGTTATGAAGAAGCAATGAAATAATTGTATGGTTGGGGGGTCCATAGCAAGAGGAGCTGTATTACAGGGTCAGAGCATTAGGAATTGAGAACCCCTGTCCTGGAGTCTGAGTCCCTCGGACAGCAGGCCAGCACCACCGTTCTCAGCCTACAGCATCCTGTGCTGGGAAGGCTGCTGTGATGGTTGTCAAAAGGAGCAAAAACAAACAGACAGACAGAGAACCAAACCAGTTTTTTTTGAGACCTTGCTCTGGTTAGCTCCTCACTGGGGGATTTTCTTGGGGGCAGTTTTTTTTTTTTTTTTTTTTTTTTTTAAAAGATTTATTTACTTATTATGTATACAGCATATATGACTACAGGCCAGAAGAGGGCACCAGATCTCATTACAGATGGTTGTGAGCCACCATGTGGTTGCTGGGAATTGAACTCAGGACCTTTGGAAGAACAAGCAGTGCTCTTAACCTCTGAGCCATTTCGGGGGCAGTTTTAAAAATTGCTTAATAAATCCAAGTCAGGATAAGGCTCTATGAGTGCTAAAGCTACCTCCCAGGCTCAATCCTCTCATAGTAACCCAAACACATTCCTTGTCCCATGGCCACCTGGGCATATGAGTGACAGGGAACTTTCTAGGATTTTCCTTCTTGCCTACATCATTGCCCCATAGTTATCTTTCTCTTATAATGGGGGAACAGTAATCAGAAGGATGCTCGGGCTCAAAGACTGGATGGGACAGACTGACAGGAGAAGACGGGGTGCTTGCAGATGAGAGCCTCTGACTGTCCTTCTCTCTCCAGACTGAGACCTCTGAGGATCTGCTACTGCTGCTAAAATCCTGGAGCCCTCCGGCTGAGAAGTCAGATGGCCCATTGATTCTGCAGGATGCTCAGGGGTTGCGGGATGTCCTTTTGACCGCACTTGCCTGCCGCCAAGGTCTAGCAACCTGATCTATCCCTTCTTTCCCTAAAGGGTCCTCTGGGCTTCTGCTCTCTGTATTTCCGTGGAGTTCCTCTAAGCTGTTGTTTCCCATCATGCTTCCTACCTTCTGAGCTTTTCTAAGCCTGCACTGTGATTGCCTCCAGGCCTCCAGGAGCTTATCACAGGGAGCCTACCCCGTGCACTGAACAGCTTGCATGAAGCAGCCTCAGGCCTGTGTCCACCATCTGTGTTAGTCCAGGTGTACACGGCGCTGGGGACCTGTCTCCGTAAGATGGTAAAGCTAAAGCCTTAGGAATTGGGGGAAACCATGGACATCATGCCTTGTCAGGGTAGCTAAGGCTTGTATCTTTCCATTCATGTAGGGAAATCCACAGAGAGCGCTGTTGTACTTGACTGCTGCCCTGAAGGTGGGAACAACCTGTGCCCTTCCTCTTCTGGAGGCTTCCAGGATATATCGGCAACTAGGAGACACAGCAGCCGAGCTGGAGAGCCTGGAGCTGCTGGTTGAGGTGAGGAGCTTCCAGGTGGAGACACCTTGTAGAGGCTGCTCAGGCGCCTGTGTTGGGACGACTCATCAAGACAGAAGTACGCAGACGTGTGGTTCTCAAAGACAGAAACTCTTCCTGTTCTTTTTAGGCCTTGAGTGCCACTCATGGTCCCAAAATGCTCAGACTTCTCATTGAGGTGGAATTGCTGCTTCCACAACCCGACCCAGCCTCTCCTCTTCACTGTGGCACACAGAGCCAGGCCAAGCACCTGCTAGCAAGCCGATGTCTGCAGACAGGGAGGTGAGTCTCCCCACTGCTCACCACAGCCCCCCTTCCCACTTCTGATGCTTTTGCTGGGCATGCGATTCTCTCTCTCTCAAATTTTATTTATTTTTGGTATGTGTGGTATACTTGTGCGTGCAGGGTTAGGGAGAGCTTCCACTTGGCTGTTCTGGGGTATGTAAAAGCTAGAGATTGACATTAGATGTCTTCCTATGTTGTTATCTACTATATTTCTTTCTTTCTTTCTTTCTTTTTTTTTTTTTTTTGGTTTTTTTTCGAGACAGGGTTTCTCTGTGTAGTTTTGGTGCCTGTCCTAAGACCAGGCTGGCCTCGAACTCAGAGATCCTCCTGGCTCTGCCTCCCAGTGCTGGGATTAAAGGTGTGCGCCACCACCGCCCAGCTCTCTACTATATTTCTTGAGACAGGTTCTCTCAGTGAACCTGGAGCTCACTAGTTCTGGCTAGACTGGCTGGCCAGTGAAGCCTTGTGATTTGCCTGTCTCTGGCTCCTCCTTCACCCCCAGTGCTGTGGTTAAAAATGTATTCTGTAGCCTGGTGGTGGTGGTGGTGGCTGCGGAGGTGGTGGTGGTGGTGGTGGTGGTGGTGGTGGTGGTGGTGGTGGTGGTGGTGGTGCACGCCCTTAATCCCAGCACTCGGGAGGCAGAGGCAGGTGGATCTCTGAGTTCCAGGCCAGCCTGGTCTACAGAGTGAGTTCCAGGACAGCCGGTGCTACAAAGAGAAACCAAAAAAGAAGTGTATTGCTGTGTGGGTTTTTACAAGAGTCCCGGATCTCTAACTCGTCATATTTGCATAGCAAGCACTTTATCCACTGAACCATGTTCCCCAGACCCCATGCTTCTCTTGTGAGATTGCTTATTCCTGTACTAAAGCATGGGCAAGACATAGCTTCCTGCCTTAAAGCAGACCTTTAACTGAAAAGTCCTGTTTGAAATGCTGACGTGGCCTACCCCATCCATCCTGAAATGGAATGGATCTATACTGAGCCAGGGTTGGAGCTTCCAAGCGTCCCCCCCCCCTTTACACCTCAGGGCCCAAGGCATCCCTCATTAGCCAAGAGAGTATTCTCACTGGAACCTTTATGGGGGGCCAGGGTCCTGGGTGAAACTCACGGGCTGACTGACTCTCCAGGGCAGGAGACGCTGCGGAGCATTACTTGGACCTGCTGGCCGTGTTACTGGGTGGTGGCTCAGAGCCGAGGGTAGGTGTGGTTAGGTGGGTGGGGGGTTGGGACCCCTCTCCCCGCACTTCATTGGTCTCCCTGGGGGATCAGTTCTCTCTGCATGGTACTGGTGAAGAGCTCAGGAGTTGATGGCTCATGCCCTTCAAGACACTGCCCTCCCCCAGGTCTCCCCGCCCACCTGCTCTCCCGGGCCTTGTGTACCAGAGTTGTGTCTGGAGGCGGCGGCAGCGCTGATCCAGGCAGGCCGAGCCCCAGACGCTTTGACTGTATGCGGGGAGCTGCTCAGCCGAACTTCATGTCTGCTTCCCAAGATGTCCGTGTGGGAAAATGCCAGAAAGAGAACCAAAGGACTGCCATACTGCCCACTCTGGGTCTCTGCTACCCACCTGCTTCAGGGCCAGGCCTGGTCACAACTAAAGGCTCAAAAAGAGGCACTTAGTGAGTTTAGCCAGTGAGTCCGGGAAGACAGAGTCGGGGGAGGGTGGGAGGATGGCTTTCTGATCGGGACCTCCGTTGGTGGACTTTATTCTTAGTAGTTACCTTAATTTCTGAGGTCGGCTCTTTATTCCTGCCATTTATATCCCACTTCAGGTGCCTTGAGCTGCTTTTTCGGGTCCTGCCTGAGGACAAAGAACAAGGTGATTTAATTTTTTTTTCCTCGAGACAGGGCTTCTCTCGGTCATTTTGGTTCCTGTCCTAGATCTCACTCTGTAGACCAGGCTGGCCTTGAACTCACAGAGATCCGCCTGCCTCTGCCTCCCAAGTGCTGGGATTAAAGGCGTGCACCACCACCGCCCGGCTAATTTTTTTTTAAGTTTTCTCTTTTCCTTTCTCTTCTTTTTTATAAAACAGGTTCTCATGTTGACTAGGCTGGCCTCAAGTTTGCTATTTTAGTCAAGGATGCCCTTGGACTCCTGTTCCTCCTGCCTCTACCTCCCAAGTGTTGACAATATAGATGTTTGAACTGTGCCTGACTCTAATTTAGATGTCAGTTTTTCTTAACTCCTGAAAGTGGTGTGTGGGTTCCCTTCCCAATGTACTCCAGTCCACCAGACTGGGAGACTTAGGGGGACATGCTGGGCATGGTAGCACATACCTTTAATCCTAGCACTCCCAGCAGGTAGATCTCTGATTTACATAATAAGTTCTGAATCAGCCAGGACTATGTGGTGAGACCTTGTCTCAAAAAAAATGTTGGGGAAGATAGGAGGAGAATGGGGACTTGGAGCTTTGGTGTGTGTGTGTGTGTGTGTGTGTGTGTGTGTGTGTGTGTGTGTGTGTGTGTGTCTGGGATGACGGGAAGATACTTGTTGACTTTGGTGGTGGTCTCTAGGTGCAGGCTCCAGCTGTGAGCAGAAGTGTAGGCCTGATGTGGTACTGAAACAGCTTCAAGTAGCTGCTCTGCTTAGTCGTGGGCTAGAATGGGCAGCCAGTGGCCAGGATACCAAAGCCTTAAGTGACTTCCTCCTTAGTGTGCAGATATGCCCAGGTAAGGACATTTGCATGACGTTGGCCTTGCATAGGAGGAGTGGTACTTGACAGACATGTAAGAATGGTACGCCCGCCCAGATAGGAAGACTGGATAGGGTTACACTGTATTACCCAGAAGGTAACCATGTGTGCATATACAAGTATGCAAGGCTCCTAAGAATTCCCTGGTCTCTCTGTTGTCCTCAGACACAAAGATCTGGACTATGTAGGGATGGGTTTGTAGGAACAGGGTCAGTTGAACATTTTGTACTGGGCAGGCAGTGGGAGAGTATGGTTATGAATACTCTAGTTTTGGTTTCATGTGTTGTGTAGACAAGATGCTGCTTCTCTCTAGGTCTAAGGCTGTATCAGGTTCTAAGTCTTTGTGTTTTCCGGGGGGGCTATAGGCAATAGAGATGGCTCCTTTTACCTGCTTCAGACTCTGAAAAGATCGAAACGGAAGAACGAGGCCACTGCTTTCTGGCGGGAGGCCCAAACTCGAGCACCACAGGAAGAAGCTACCTGGTAAGGTCGAGTCTTCCTGGCTTGGGCTGGGGAGGAGTTAGGATGCTGTAGTGGAGGTGCTGAGGAACGGAAGGAAGGAAGGATGTCAAACCCATATCTCTCTTGCACTCTTAGGCACCGCCATTCTTGCTTTTCAGGTCTCTTCCACTGTATTTAGAAACCTGTTTGAGCTGGATCCATCCCCCTAACTGTGAAGCTCTCCTTGAGGAGTTTGGAACATCTCTGCTGGAGTCTCATGACCTGTAGCTTCCTTGTTCCCAGGAGCTTGAGCTGGGGCCCCTGTGGACCATCTCCATGGGGAGGGTTTTTTCCTCCCTTATCCTCTTTGGATGATATGGCTGGAGCTGATTGTTCCTAAGTCACTCCTCCACTGCTGAGCTTGCTGGTCTTGTGAGCTTGTCTCCTTGTGCCAGTCTAGTTCCAGAACAAATCATTGACTTCGGTCATGACACTTGTTTCCTGTTTCTTTTCTTTCTTCCTTTTTTTTTTGGTATGTGTGTTGAGTAAAATCTTGTATTTACCTATTATCTGCTTATTACACGTGGTTGAATGGGAAGAGTCATGGCAGACTAGTTGGGTGTTGGTTATTTAAGATGCTGTCTTCCCAACATCCAACTTTCGTCTACCTTCCCTGCTTCCCAGGTCTCCTCTTCCCTCCCACTTTGTTTTTGGAAGGTTGGATTCTGGGGACTGAACTCCAGTTCCTCACATAGAAGTCCCCAGCCCCTCCCTACCCCTCACCCAACCCCCACTATCTGTCTGTCTGAAGAGCCCGAGGTATGAGCATGAGGAAAAGGCTACGTTAATCCTTCCGAGGAAGCAGTGATATAGTCCTTTAAATTATTAAAAATTTTAATTACTTATTTTAAATCGTGTGTGTATGCCATCCATATGTGTGTGGGTGCCCTTGGAGGCCAGAGGCGTTGGGTCCCTCAGAGTTATAGTCACAGGAGGTTGTGACCACCTGACATGGGTGCTGGGAATCCAAGCTGGGTCCTCTGGAAGAGCAGTTACACTCTCTTAACCACTGAGCCATCTCTCTGGCTTTGTTACCTGAAAGCCCATGAATCTGTGGTAGGTGACAGAGTGAATGAAGTTGGTCTGAAGAATGATCTTGACCGGCCTCTTAGGGAAGAGTCGGTAGGTACATGATACTTAAGAAGTGGTATGCCACTCTAACCCCAGCACTCGGGAGGCGGGGGCAGGTGGAATCTGAGGCCAGCCTGTTCTACAGAGTGAGTTCCAGGACAGCCAGGGCTGTCTCAAAAAAATCAAAACAAAAATGGAAGAGATGTTCCTCAGAGTAGCTCCATACCTAGAAACAAATGTCTCAGATCCGTCTGTGTGGGTAGGAGGTGAAGGGTGAACTGAATCAGGATGCCACTCGGAGCTAACAGTCTGTTGACTACAATGAGAGCCAATTAATTGTCTTTGGGGCCCAAGGACCTAAGTCAGAGCCTGTGGTTGATTTTCTTGCTCTTAGGCACTGCTGAATTTGCTCTGTGTTCTGCAAATGTCCTTGATCTCTTTGAACCCGAGTGCTCTTCCTCCCCAGATAATATTTAATACACTGTAGGAGGGAGTATGTACTCCCGAACCCCGAGAAATTGTAAAACCTGAGGGATTTCTTAGGAGAGCACAATGTCAACAGCGTGGATTAAGAGCTGGGGTGCTGCTGATTCAGAGCTAGGGTCCAGAGAAAGGGTGGCTAGAGCGAGTGTTTTTTGGTAGACCTAGTCTAGCCATGCAGCACCAGCTGGCTTCAAACTCTCAACCCTCCTGCTTGTAAAGCCTGTGGTGTACTGGGATCTAGGGTAAACACCACCATACCCAGCTGTTTTTGCTTTTTTAAAAAATTATATTTACTTAGTTTTGAGACAGGGTCTCACTGTGTAGCCCTGGCTGGCTGCAACTCCCTTTTTTTTTTTTAATAGACCAGGCTGATTTAAAACTCATAGAACAGAGATCCGCCTGCCTTTGCCTCCCAAGTGTTGAGATTAAAAACATGTGCCACCACACTGCTTTAAAAATTTATTTTTGAGATAGTGTTTTGACGCTAGGATTATAAATCTACGCCACTACGCCCGACCGGGTTTTGTTTTTCAGAAAGGATCCGGTATCCTGAGTTTATCTCCAACTAATAATTCCCCAGCCTCTGCTTCCCAACTGCTAGGATTACAGACCTAGCCCATCCACCACGCCCTTGGTTGGAGTCAGTGTTTTAAAGGAGCACGGAGGGTTACTGTAGTGTAGTAAGAGGATCCCCACGATTGGCGAGGAATGGACTACCTACGTGGGTTATCATTACAACCCGACTAAACTAATAAGGGTTCAGGCCATTGTGCCAGGTTCTTCCAGCAGCTTATAAACTAACGAGCCAATCAACTGGAGCCAAGTAGGAGAGGCCTCCCCGGGGGGGAGTAAAGGCTCTTTTACCAGGCGATCTGGCCAATTCCTTGTGCTGATTGGCCAAGGATCCCAATCCGTCGAGGAAGCGTAGTGCTGCGGCCAATTGACGTGGCGTTACTAGGCGTGTTGCAGCCTTGAGGCGGGGTCAGGCCACGGGCGAATTTTCTGATTGGTTGTGGTCTGCGGGTTGCTGGGGAGAGGCACGGAGGGGCGGGCACGAGTCCCAAGGCAGGCGCTGATTGGTTGGGGTGGGAGCAGCTTTCCTTCCGATGATTCGGCTCTTCTCGGCTCAGTCTCAGCGAAGCGTTTGCAGCCGTCGTTTGATTAGTCGCTGCCGCTGCCCCCCTCGCGGATCAGGAGCCAGCGTCTCCCGCCCGCCCGCCGCCCCGGTGCCGCTGGGAGGAAGCGAGAGGGAGGCTGCCCGAGGGTCCGTCACTGCTGTCGATCCACCGCCTGAGTGAGTCCAACCCGGGCCTAGCCGGTCGCCTGCCATTCTCGCAGCCGTTACCCTCAGGCCGCCACAGCCGCCGACCGGGACAGGCGCGCGCCATG